AACCAAGCAGTTCAAACTTAAACATGTAATCTTCGTTTGCTATGAGTTGATATTTATTTAATAATATATATATCATATACGAACCAACGATTCCTTTTGATAATTTGAAAATTTAATTTCGGGTTTATAAACAACCTTAATTTGTTAATGTCTTTATTTCTCCCTTATTATTTGGATGTTAGTCCATCCTCTATATACTATTTAATTACCGTGATGGTGAGGAAGAGGATTTTACCTTCCTCACCAATCAAGTAATGCTTCAGCAAATGTTTTTTCTTTTTCAGTTTATATATATACATACACACACACACACCACACACATTATATATATGTATTTATGTATGTATATGCGCTTCAATCGCTTAATTCTATCAGAGAATTGGGCTTCAACTGGCCAGCGAAGAAGAACCACCCACACACACTCTTATGATGGCTTCTTCAGAAGGGACAACAATCAGGTAAAAGACAAACATGCTTTTTTAAGTCCCTATATTTTATCTAAATTCCATTTATTCCCGACAGTTTTAATATGTAATACATTTAGCTCCAGATTTCTAAAGTGTTAATACATTTTTTTCAATTATCTTTTCTATGCAGCAATCCTAATTTCACCTGTGAGGATAGTGGGAGCCTTAAAACTCAATAAAATAAACTTTCATCTTTCTTTTAATTTTTCTTTCAAGTACAAGGATTTCATTTCGAAGAACTCAAAGAATTGCATAAGGTAGCAATAAAATCTAAAAAGCTACTAGCAATGAAATATAAAAAGCTAATCAGGGCCAAATGTATTAAACTTTAGACGGTGTCAAAACAAGGGTGTTATAATTGAAATTATGCAGACAATGATGTAATTTACCCATGCTGTTAAATAACTCGTGCAATAACCTTAGAAATATATGTAATACATCTAGTCAGACATTTCTAAGGTATTAATGCATTTTTTTCAATTATCTTTTCTAGAAAGTAATACTAATTTCACCTATGAAGATAGTGGGAGCCTTTAAACTCGATCAAAATGACCTTTCATCATTCCTTTAATTTTTCTTTTAAGTAAAAATATTTCATTGCTAATAACTCAAAAAAGTACCATACACTTCGCTGGAACAACAAAAGTATACTAAACCGGAAGCACCAACAACCTTGCCCTGCAAAGTGCAAAAAGATTGCCAAATGATGACTACACATAAAACACCAAAAAAAACTTAAAACTAAAAACCCAACAATGAGGACATTCTGCCGTATTGTAAATTATTATCTAGGAATTGTATCATTTGACGATACCATGTTAATTATTAAAACATATATGAAGTCTATGGCTAAATCAGTAAAGAAATTTTGGTAAGGAATTTGAGCAGGTTATACAAAAGATTTTTTTCTTTAAAGAGATTTATAATTATTTCTAAGGTCCAATATTGGAATAATTTCAAAAGTTTTAATTACAAGAATATGAATTTAACTAGTACATTTGGGGAAGAAATTACATTTTCAGACTAAAAAGCTAACAAAGACCAAATATATTAAATTTTAGAAAGTGTCGAATTAATTGTGTTACAATATAGACAAAGGTGTAATTTACCTGTGCAGTAAAACAACTGGTACAATAAAATATTCATATACTGATCAGATACATTCTGGAAGTATTTGCCACTACATAGAGCGGCAGCCAAAGGCTGTTGGGAGAGTGCAAGACAGATCATCCAGAAGACGAAGAGGCGCCCACAGCCATAGTCAATATAAATGAAGAGACAGCACTCCACGTAGTGGTTTTGACGGGAAAGGCGATCCATTTTGTGAAAGAGTTGGTGAAATTCATGCCAAAAGAGGCATTGTCCATGCGAAAAACAATGGGCAGACAGCTCTCTTCCTAGTTGCAAGGGTCGGTTATACAGAGGCTGCAACTATCTTGCTTGAGGAAGACCCGGGTTTGCTTTACATTAGAGACAATAACGGTAACTTACCTGTCGCAGCAGCCGCCTCATGTGCCCAACGCCACACCCTCATATATCTAATTTACTTTCTGTTACCGCCAGCAACAAGCACCTTAATCCTGATCCCTTTCCAGAGCAAGAAGATGTATTCCTTCTTATTCACATATTAGAGTGTGGAATTTTGGTAAGTGATAGTCATAATTCTTAAACTTTAGCATCAATCTTCATATTCTTTGCGTAAAATTGACATTATTAACTTGTTTGGTTATTCTTTTATTTTAATAAGAATTTATGGTAATTTAATATTACAATTATAAATATTTGATTAGTCTCGAGTTTGTTTTTTCTCTATTATGGTGTTGTGGATTTTAACAATATTGGTAATTGGGTTATATACGTTTCTTAATTACAGATGTGGCATTAGACTTGATTAAGCAATACCCTCACTTGGCCACTTTTAAAAGCCGTGATGATGCCACGCCTTTGCAAACAATGGCTCAAACACCTTGGCATTTCGAAGAGGAAGTCGCCTGAACTTGTTGGAAAATTTAATTTACAACGGTTGGTTTCTGCAACTCTTTTCTTTCTTTTTTTTTTTTTTTTTGACATTTTCAATTTGTGGACAGCAGTTAAACAAGAAAAAAGAAGCAAAGAAACATATATTCTTATGACCAAAACTTTTTTTTTTGGTGGGTAGACAGTGGGAGAGGAGATGTTTGCTTTTCCTTTGTATAACCAAAAAAAAAAAAAAAGAAGAAGTAATGGGCATAAATTTTTTTTCCAAAAATAGGTCCTAATTTAAGCATAGTTAGTTTTTGACATGTTCTAATATTGACTTTCTCTTGAAGCTGTCCTTCTAAGGTTGGAGTCCACCCTAACAGAGTTGAAGGTGATGTGGAGAATCCAACTTCAGTGCCCCCCCATAGCTGGAGTAGTCGTTTGGTCTCAGGTCACCTCTCTCTCTCTCTCTCTATTTGACGCAAAAACTTAATTAGAGCACACTAAATAAATGCCAAGTCCAAAAACTTTCCTAAACTTTATGGCAAATCAATTTAATATTAATAAAACCAAACTTTTGGTATCTTCTTCCTATTCCGCAAATGGAAATTCTAAAATATTAGAGATAAGATTTCTCGTGAATATGATAAAATTTGATTGTGCTTATTTCAAATTTATTTCCAACAGGATGATATGTTGTTTCACAATAAATACAGAAAACTTATCAACTCAAAATTCAAAAGCAAAACAACATAAACAATAGATACCAATTAATCCTATTCCATTTATTTAACTATTTTGGTTTTGGTGCCGAAAAATAAATAAAATGAAAATACAAATTTTGATAAAACACTACCTAATTGACTTGCTATTTTCTATTTGCAGTCACTTGGCAGCCGTTAAATTTCACGATATGGGAAGTGATTGGATGGCTAGGTAACAAGGAGATGAACCATTAATAACTTTAGTTCACAAAACAGTGATATTTGTCACATTAATTTTTTATTCAATATCGCAGTGCCATTGGTAAAGCATCTCAAGGACAAGAAGTTGAAGCACCATCAAGCTCTCCAGGTTGTCAAGTTGTTATGCAAACAACTTGAAAGATTACCTGACCCAAAAGATGCGTCATCTCACACTATAGATGCCGTCATTGAAGCTGCAATACAGGGTAATCCAGAGGTGATTGAAGAGATAGTGGACATATTTCCAGAGGCAATTTGGTCTAATAAGTCCAAGCACTACATGTTTCATTTGGCAGTCCGCAACCGCTGTGAAAATGTTTTCAACCTTGCATATCAGATGAGCAAAATTAGACTTGCAATGATGGATGTATATGTCGACAACGGGAACACCATCTTGCACTTGGCAGGACAATTGGCACCACGCTACAAGCTCAGTCTTGTTTCCGGTGCAGCTTTGCAAATGCAATATGAGTTACAATGGTTCAAGGTATGCCACAGCCTAATCTTAATCTTGCTCTAACTTTTTCTGATTTTCAACAGAAAGAAACCAAGATATATACGTACTATAATTTCCAAAATAAAAGCTCTTCACTTTCTCTAAACAACATTCTTAATGACGTTATATCTAGGAAGTGGAAAAATTCATGACACCTCGGATGAAAAACAGTACCAACATAGATAACAAAACTCCTCAAGAGGTATTCACTGAAGCTCATAAGGATTTAGTGAATGATGGAGAGAAATGGATGAAAGATACTGCAAACTCATGCACAATTGCTGCAGCATTGATCGTGACAATAGTTTTTGCAGCAGCCATTACTGTGCCGGGAGGCAACAACGATGAAAATGGAGAGCCTTTTTTTTACATAAAAGCAAAGCATTCATAATCTTTGCGGTTTCAGACGCGATATCTCTTTTTGCATCCACAACCTCCCTTTTGATGTTCTTATCTATCCTTACTGCACGCTATGCAGAGAGTGATTTTCTCTATGCCTTGCCTAGAAGATTAATTATAGGTCTTGTTACCTTATTCCTTTCTATAACATTCATGATGATGGCCTTTGGCTCCACAGTTTATCTAATGTTCGGGCAGGGAAAGGCCTGGATTCTAATTGGGGTGGCTGCGCTTGCTTCTCTTCCTATCACTTCATTTGTGTTCCTCCAGTTTCCCCTCCTTGTTGATGTCATATCTTCAACCTATGGTCCTGGTGTTTTTGGGAAAAAGAGCGATCGAGCCTTTCGTTGAGCTGGTGGTGATTATGTAATATAATTAACCTTACCTATTCATCATTCAGCATGTTGTAATGGTTTTACCATGTATTTTTAGTTCATTTAATCAATTTCTCATATATGCTCCCTTGGTGGGTCTGTGAGTTGATGTATATATGTTTTTAGTAAAGTCGTTTGCTTTCATAAAACAAAAAAATGCCCCAAAATTAAAATTACAACTTAATTTGTTCGGAGTAAATAGAACAATTAAATGTTTTAATTGAATATACTTTTGCCATATCAAGCGGTGTTAATTGCTAATTTATGTTGAGCTTTATTGTCGTCAATATTAGAATATTTTAAAATCATATTTTCTTTTGTTTATCTTATATTAACTTTAAATATAATCCATATTACTACATTTAATTTTGTCTAAAATTTATTAAAAATAATCTTTCCATGGTTAAAAAATTCGTTAATATTTGCGAGACAAACCTTATTAAACTGAAGAAAATGAAAATAAAAAATGGAAGTGAAAAGTTTTCTAAAATAATTATGATTTTTAAGTAACTTATACAAGGGTTTGATATTAAATTACAATTCAATTATCGTAAAGTTAATAAATTTTAGATGTATGTTAACATAATTAGACTAATACAAGTCAATTAATATGATAAAAATTTCCCACCATCAATGAGATAAATCATAAATTTTTTTACGAATAATAGTTTTATTACTTATAAAAAATTAAATAATTATTTGATTTTACTTATCAGATTAAAAAAATAATACAAGATTATGGTGCAGTCATCATCGTGTCCCTGCACGTGGGAGTGAGAGCTGTTTGGAGCTGGAAAAACCCACCGTCCATTTCATCTACAAGGGCCGTCCAAAAAATTAAATAAAAGAAAAAGGAAAATAAAAAATGATTGATCCTCACATGGAATGGAATGGAATCTTCTAATCGGATGAGCGGAGTAAAATAGAAATTAATATTTACGCAATCAGAACCCAATAATTGGGCAGGCGGCCACCGTTAGGCCGGCGCATAGTGTTCCCAATAAACTATGATTTTTAGGCGTATGCCCAGCTCCACACCCTCACCTATCTACTTTCTGTTACCGCCAGCAGCAAGCACCATAATCCTAATCCCTTTCCGAAGCAAGAAGATGTACTCGTTCTTATATATACTTTAAAGTGTGAATACTTTGGTGAGTGATCATTGTCAGGACTCAAGGTGCTTTGATGCTATTTGTTGGGATTAGCACTCCCACAGAAAAATATACACACACATAGTAAATTTAGGAAGGGATAAAATATAGACACCAAGATTTACGTAGAAAACCCAAATCGGGAAAAATCACGGACAAGAGGGAAAAATATCACCACTATAAGAAGGAATTTACACAGAACTCTCGAATATTTTTGCCAACTCGAGATACCACTCACAAAAAAATTCTCACTTTGTTGACACCCTCGCTACAATAACCTCACCCTCTACACAAGAGAATATTTTTCACCCTCTCTCTAACTTGCGAGTCTCTCTCTAACTTTCTTCTTCTCTCTTCGTTGGTGTGCCTTGATGCAGGTTTGGAGCTCCTCTATTTATAGGAGCTCCTGGTTGCCTTTTGTCAATTTAGGCTACCAATCAAGCAGTCAGAGAAGACTTCCACGGCTGCCAACCAAATGGGTTGGTGTTTTCAAATATTGCTGCAGCCAACCATCAAAGACAAAAACAGCCACGTAAAAAAAAACTTCACATGGGGATGGACCCTACAAATCTCCCCCTCCAGACCCGTGCTTCTGTGAGGAGATTGCTGATATTCTTCTAAGTAGAGCTCAAACCAACAAGTTCTTTGCACATTTCAAACTTGTTGCGAGGAATCACCTTAGTCATCATATCCGAAGGGTTTTTGTCAGTGGAAATCTTTTTCAGATAAAAGGACTTATCTTCCACCTGTTCTCTTATGTAATGGTATCGCACATCAATATGCTTTGTTCATGAGTGACACATGGAGTTTTTGCTCAAGTCTATTGCACTTTGACTATCACAATAGACTACATACTCCTTTTGGTACAGACCAATTTCTTGAAGAATCTCTTCAGCCAAATTATTTCTTTCCCTGCTTCTATAGTAGCAATGTATTCAGCTTCAGTTGTTGACAGTGCGATGCACTTTTGCAACTTTGACTGCCATGATATAGCTCCCCCTGAAAATGTAAATACAAACCCAGAAGTAGATTTTCTGTGATCAGGATCACCTGCCATATCAGCGTCTGTAAAACCTTCTAAGACTGCATCTGACCCTCCAAAACATAGCATGCCTTTGACGTACCCTTCAGATATCTGAGTATCCATTTTACTGCTTCCCAATGTTCTTTTTCCGGTTGTCAAGAAATCGACTAACCACTCCAACAGCATGAGCAATATCTAGTCTGGTACAGACCATGGCGTACATCAAGCTTCCAACTGCTGAGGAATAGGGAACTTTAGCCATTTTCTCTTTTTCTTCTGTTGTTGTAGGACACATCTTCTTGTTCAACTTCAAGTGACCAGCAAGAGGGGTGCTAACTGGTTTAGCATCTTTCATATTAAAGTGTTCTAGAACACGCTCAATATAATTCTCTTGCGATAACCACAGCTTTTTCTCCTTCCTATCCCGAACAATCTTCATCCCCAAGATTTGTTGTGCAGGACCCAAGTCTTTCATATCAAAAGTCTTGGATAAGTCTTTCTTCAGTTTGGTTATCTGCTCCTTGTCACGTCCGACAATCAACATGCCATCTACATACAATAACAAAATAATAAAATTGTTGTCAGAGAATCTTTTGAAATTTACACATGGATCCGAAAGAGTCCTTTCGTATACTTGACTCTTCATAAATGAGTTGAACTTCTTGTACCACTGCCTTGGTGCCTGCTTTAATCCATACAAACTCTTATTCAATTTGCACACCATGTGTTCTTTCTCTTTGACTCTGAATCCTTCTGGTTGTTCTATGTAGATCTCTTCTTCCAAATCTCCATGAAGAAATGCAGTTTTAACGTCCAACTGCTCTAATTCGAGATCTTGGCTAGCTGTGAAGCCTAAAATTGTTCGGATAGAAGTCATTTTCACAATTGGTGAAAAAATTTCATCAAAGTCAATACCTTTCTTCTGTCCGAACCCTTTGACCACTAGTCGAGCTTTGTGTCTGACCAGCTTGCCATTTCCATCTTTCTTCACTTTAAAGACCCATTTGCATTTGAGTGGTCTTTTACCTTTTGGAAGTTCAGTCAGTTTGTACGTGCCATTTTTCCACAAAGAGTTCATCTCTTCTTTCATGGCTTCCATCCACTTGTCTTTTTCTGGATGAGTCAGTATTTCATGAAAATTCTCCGGCTCCCCCTCTTCAGTAATAAGAACATACTCAGAAGATGGATACTTGGATGACGGTTTCTTTTCTCGTTCAGATTGCCTGAGAGGTAATCCTCTTGCTTCTAGTAGGGTGGGTTGCTCCCCCTGCTGTTGCTCCTCTAGCTCTTCCTATTGTTGTTCCTCCAGCTCCTCAACTTCATCATCAGCTTCTTCTGGTATGGTATCTTCTCCATCTGTGGCATGATTTGATGGAGATGAAATGGTAATTTCATGTGAAATCACACCATTCTCCTTTTTGGCCTTCTCTATTTGGGTATCAACTCCAAACTCATTTTCGCGGAAGACCACATCTCGGCTCTTGATAATCTTCCTCTTCTCTGGATCCCACAGTCTGTAGCCGAATTCTTCATCTCCATATCCGACGAAGATACAAGGAATAGCTTTATCGTCAAGCTTCGATCTCTGCTCCTTCGGCACATGGACAAAAGTTTTGCAGCCGAACACTTTCAAATGAGTGTACGGCACTTCTTTGCCTATCCATACTTCTTCAGGGATATCAAATCCCAATGGAACTGATGGACTTCTATTGATGATATAGCAGGCTGTATCAATTGCTTCACCCCAGAATGACTTAGGCAGTTTCGCCATTCTGAGCATGCTTCTCACCCTTTCAACAATAGTGCGATTCATTCTCTCAGCCACACCATTGTGTTGTGGTGTTCCAGGAACAGTTTTTTCATGTCTGATCCCATGGCTAGAGCAATATCCTTCAAACTCTCTTGAGGTATATTCTCCACCATTGTCTGATCGGAGACACTTCAGCTTTCGGCCTATCTCCCTTTCCACCATTGTAAGGAATGATTGAAACACCTGGAATGCCTGGTCTTTGGTTTTCAAGAGATAGATCCACACCTTTCTCGAAGCATCATCAATAAAAGTAAGAAAGTATTTGTTTCCGCACATCGATTCAACCTCCATAGGACCACAAATATCAGAATATACCATATCTAGTATATCTGATTTTCCATCAAGAGTCTTCTGGAAAGATACCCTATGTTGCTTGCCCAATAAGCAATGATCACAAGGTTTAAGTAAGGTACCTTTTGCCAAAGAGATAAGTGATCTTCTCGCTAAGATCTGCAACCCTTTTTCACTCATGTGTGCCAATCTCCGATGCCACAAGTCTGCAGATTGTTCTCCTTCGGCCACGTTCACCTGGCCATGACAAATTTCAACATTTGTCTTATACAGTGTGTTGGACGCCTTTCCTTTTGCTACCACCAGCGATCCCTTGGTGAGTGTCCACGTCCCATTTGCGAAGCGATTTGCATATCCTTCATGATCAAGGACAATCCCTGATATCAAATTCATCCGCATATCAGGAACATGTCGGACATTCCTTAGAACAAACGTGCATCCGACAGTTGTCTTGACATGAATATCACCAATTCCCACGATCTTGGAGAAACTGGTGTTTCCCATCCTCACTGTACCAAAATCTCCTGCTTTGTACGTGCAAAAGAAATCTCTGACTGAAGTGAGATGATAGGATGCTGCTGTGTCAACAACCAATCTAAATCAGAAGTGGACACCTGCATGCACTCCTCTTCTTCGTTCATGACAAGGGCTACATAATCACCATTCTGTACTGTTGCAGTCATATTTCTGTCATCACCTTT